AAGTGCTTATCAAAAGATGAATGGATAAAGAAAATACAGTATATATACACAACAAAATATTATTCAACCATAAAAAATAATGAAATTGTTTCATTGTAGCAACATGGTTGGAACTGGAGACCATTAAGGTAAGTGAGATAAGCCAAGTACAGAAAGGCAAATATCACATGTTCTCGCTCATATGCAGAAGCTAAAAAGGTGTTTCTCAGGAAGACAGGAAGTAGATTGAAGGTTACCAGAGGCCGAGGAGAGTGGGAAAGGGAGATGAAAGAGGAAAATACATATAAATGTATTTATTGCTGCTGAACTGTGTGGTTAAAAATAATAAGGATGGTGAATTACACATATGTTTATTTTACCTCAATACAATTGTTTGTTAAATTTCTTTAGGTGGTTGCTAACACACAAAATCCAAACTACTTTCTAATTCAAATTGGATACCAATGTGAAAATTATTTTCTAACCATCTCCATTCTACTCATTCCACTCTGTTTTTGAATGGAGAGGAGTGGAGAAATTAGAGTGGGGTGAAGATTTGAAAAAAGAACAACAGCTATAAGGCTGTTTCTGTAATCCATACTAGAGATGCTAGCATCCTGAACTAGGATGGCAGCAGTAGGAAGGCAGCATGGTACATATTTAAGAGTTAGGGACTACAATTGACTAGACTCAGAGGTATAAGGAAAGACGGAGAGGGGAGTAATTAGAAATAACTCGTTAAGTTCTAGGTTTGAGGCGGCTGGTAGAGGAAGATTCCAGACACTGCAACTAAGTAGAAATGGACAAATATGTTTGAAAGAAAATCTGTAAGTTCAGTTTTATACATGTTGAGATTTGTATTTATAAAACATCAAAATGAAGCTATAAATACATCCAAGATAAGGAGAAAGATCTAGAGTAGAAACAGATGTAGGCAGCCTCAGTAGATAGATGGAATCCATGGGATGGATGAGAATGCCTAGGGAGAAAATATACAGTACAAATACATAAAGGATCCCAGGAAACAGCCCTGAAAGTCTCTTACATTAAGTGGTCAAAAAGAGGCTAAGAAAATGGAAGAAAAGCAAGATCATGGCTTCAAAGAGCCAAGAAATAGTCCAACATGTTTAATGCTAGAGATAAAGAAGAGGTATCACTAAACTATCAGGAAGTTGTTTGTGAACTTGTTGAGAACAGTTTTAATAAACAAAGTTTACTCACAGTTGCAACACTTACTTAAGCCATGTTTGCTCAAGCCAGTCACTTAGTTTCTTCATCCTGTCTACCTCATGGGTTTGTTATGAGGATTGTATTAAACATCATATCTGAAAGTGATGTTTAATGTTAAACAGAGGGTAAAAGTTCTATTATTAAAATTGTGTTGTTCTGGCAGTGTTCACTGCCAATTCTCTGTTTCACCCATATGGTAAGCTGATGTGCACTGGCCAATGTAACATCAGCAGAATGGACTCACTGCTACACAAAAGCTGTTAAGAATCTGCATAGTTCAACACACTTCTCTATGCCCTGCCACTACTTCTACAGAAGCATATTTCAAAACAAATCCTTCATTAAGTCTAGATTTTTGAGCAATTGCCATGAGGAGTGCCCGCTCTAGCTGACTCATCCTGACACGTAATATGGAGACAATTAAATGTTGTTTTAAAGCACTGACATTTTGGAATTATGACAAGTAATTGCAGTGTAATGACAAGTAATTGCAGTGTAACAAGTAAAAAAGTAAATAAATAAAGGGCAGAAAAATCAAGTGGAAAATGCTATTTTGGGATTTAATCAATGAGACAACATGAAGGTGGTTAGTCACGCTAATAACGCACTAATTTTTATTTCATAGCACAGTTACTCAGTAATCCTTTATACTTGATTCAATATTCTCACAGGTACAGAAGGTGAAAAGAACAACTAATGAAGGTGATACAGTTTGGCTGCATTCCCACTCAAATCTCATCTTGAATTCCCACGTATAGTGGGAGGGACCTGATGGGAGGTAACTGAATCGTAGGGGCAGGTATTTTCCATGCTGTTCTCATGATAGTGAAGGTCTGATGGTTTTAAAAAGTGGAGTTTCCCTGCACAAGCTCTCCTCTTGTCTGCCACCATGTGAGATGTGACTTTCACCTTTTGCCATGATTGTGAGGCATGCCCTACCACTTGGAACTCTAAGTCCAATAAACCTCTTTCTTTTGTGAATTGCCCAGTCTCAGGTATGTCTTTACCAGCAGCATGCAAACAGACTAATATAGAAGGGGAAAAGGCCAAAGTAAAGAGAAGAAATATCTAAAACATCCTAAGGGAACACCCCAAGCTATTTCAAATGAGAAGACATGTGTTGGGGAAGGATAAAACAGTCCATCAAAGAGAAATTTCCTTCTTCATCACCTTAATTATATATTGTTGTTTGTACCTCGAATTTTCTTCACTCCTTAGTAGGCATACTTTGCATCTAACTATTTGACTGGTTCTGTATTTGTGCTAGGCCAAAGACACAAAGTCCAAAGGGGTTATTAGAAATAAATAAAAAATTGGGCAAGGAATCAAGACCAGATTGTATGAAGGAAAAACGTTTTATTCTTCAAGTGTTAACAATAAAAGTTACCACTAACAAATGCCAAATTACTATTTGATATTCCTAAATGGAAGATGTCTGCTAACAAATGGCCATTACTCAGAACCAAGGACAAAAGTAGAATGCAGGTCAGAGTGAGGCATGAGGGCCTATTGGATGAAACTTTTCACCAAGCACAGTGGATTCTCTTTCCTTCTTTACCTTGGCCTTTGTCCCCATTAGTTTTGGCAAACCATGAAAGAAGATTATAAATGCTTCAATCCCAATGGAGTTGGAAATAAAGTACACGAAAAAAACACTTAATAAAAAATGTCTGTCTGTTTCTATCATTTTAAAAAGAAGGAAAGGGGTGTAGATAAAACATTTCCACAACTCTTCTTTAATAAACACCTTAAGTGTCATTTTACAAAACACAAAAGTAAATTAATGTCATGGTTACAAACATAAAAAAAAAAAAAATCTGACCACCATCTTTAATGACTATCTTTTGCTCTAATTTTTTTGACTATTTCAAAATCAAATCCAACCTTAAACCTATGACGACTGTGTACTAAGTTTCTTTGAAAGCATATACTGTAAATTCTGAAAACAATTGTGCAAGGCTGCTCGCCAAATGGTTTATATAAAAGCATAAACATCTGATTACGTGAGGGACAGTGCAGGGTGATTATTTTACAGAGGGCTCACTCATTCCTATATACAAGCTCAAGAATGCAACTTCGTATCCCTTACAATAGCTAGAGCAGCGTTTTATTTATAGGAGTTCCTCAATAAACACTTGATGATTTGAATACATTTAATACCTGAAAATGCTAGGACACAAACAAATTGCTGGGCTTTTTTCAAACTCCAGATCAACCCATTTTCATTCCTCTCAACGTTGCTTCATGCCAGTTAACTAGCTGGATGTTTTCCATGGCTCGAAAAAGTGGCCATGTATATTCTGTTGCAGGCCATACATGCAGGCCATGTATATTCTGTTTAGGACATTTTCAATCTGCAGTGTCCTAAAAGGGGAGAAACTATTAAATCACAATGAGGTAACCTCACGAGTACAACTATTATATCTAGTATAACAGCTCTTTTAGTTAGGGGGAAAAAAAAGAACTGTGACTTTTTAGTGGAACCTATTAGTAAAATCATTAGCCTAGACGGTAACTAAACTGGTACGGGACACAATGATAGAAGACAAGCTTAAACGACATTGGCCTGTAGAAGTTTTGCTTTCCTGGTCTTTCTCCCTCTTCAAGACGGCAAAGTCAAACACGGACAAATGTTGATGTGCATCTAACTCATCAATGTCGGTGTGCATCTAACTCATCAATGTCGGTGTGCATCTAACTCATCAATGTCGGTGTGCATCTAACTCATCAATGTCGGTGTGCATCTAACTCATCAATGTCGGTGTGCATCTAACTCATCAATGTCGGTGTGCATCTAACTCATCAATGTCGGTGTGCATCTAACTCATCAATGTCGATGTGCATCTAACTCATCAATGTCGGTGTGCATCTAACTCATCAATGTCGGTGTGCATCTAACTCATCAATGTCGGTGTGCATCTAACTCATCAATGTCGGTGTGCATCTAACTCATCAATGTCGGTGTGCATCTAACTCATCAATGTTGGTGTGCATCTAACTCATCAATGTAGGTGTACATCTAACTCATCAATGTTGGTGTGCATCTAACTCATCAATGTTGGTGTGCATCTAACTCATCAATGTTGATGTGCATCTAACTCATCAATGTAGGTGTGCATCTAACTCATCAATGTTGGTGTGCATCTAACTCATCAATGTTGGTGTGCATCTAACTCATCAATGTTGATGTGCATCTAACTCAACAATGTTGGTCCAAGGAAAGAAAAAAAACTTTATCAATGTGTGTAATCGTCCCCTAAAAGAGGAATATTAGCAAGGAAACAACAAAAGTTAGGATACAGTGTCCGCCTGAAGGAATCCTCTTAGATATCAAATCACAATCCTTGCTACGAAGTAAACTAGAAAGTTTTAAACGCCTAATTAACGCTTGCCAGGAGTTATGCCCACGCTCATCCCCGGGCTCACGCTGCTGCTCGCCAAAGTCAGAAAGCCTGCAGTGGCGTTGAGTAACTTCCCAGCAGCCCTGCTGGGAACAGTGCTGGGGCCAAAGCACGTACCCTATGGCGCAAGACCGCCGATTAGAACAGAGGGGAAAGGGGATGAGGAAGGAAGTCTCTTCAGCGCCAGCTCCGCGGACCGGAACTGCCAACCTGCAGCTTTGAAAGCCATAGAACACGGTCCTCCGAGTCGCCCCGAGTCCCGCCCACCCAAGTTCCTCCCCGTCGGGGGCGGAGTTGGCACGCGAGGGCCGAGGGGCGGCCACTGTCCCGAGTCGGCTCCTGGGAGGCGGGCTGCCTACCTAGGCGGGGATGGTGGGAGTCGGGCGGTACCTGCGCTGGAAGTCCACGGCGTAGGGCTTCAGGTACGGGTCGATCTCCAGGAGTCTGGCTAGTTCGGGCACGTCTGCTAGGGCGGCCTTCAGCGCCGCCTCGGAGCCCTCAGCCGGAGCCGCCATCTTCCGCCGCAGTACGAATAGCCGAGGCCCGAGAGAGTCGAGTAGAGCCTGAGCGGGCACTGAGCGGAGCTCGAGCGGGGTCGAGGCTGCGAGGGCGGAGCTGGAGGGCGCCTAGGCGTGTCGAGGCGGGCCGCGGCAGTCCGGGGCCCTTTATAGCCCGGGAGGAAGGCCTCCTGCCCTTTCTCCCCCCGCCAGCGGGGAGGAGCGGGACCTGGGGTGATGCCCGGACGCACGTCCCGAGCCGGTAGGAGGCACCGAGGCCTCTCCGCCCACTCACGCGGCTGGCACCTGGAGGCCGCAGGGATCTGCCGTTCCTCCCGTTAACGGGTTTTCCCCTGCCGGCCGAGGTCATTCTAGGAGGTGGGTCCCAAGCTGACCTCGCTCAGCCTTGGCCTTCCTCACCCTGACCTATTCTTGGCTCCGGAATGGATTCGGCTTTTCTTTCTTTAAGCACCCACTTAAATACCCACTGACAGCGTCCCCTTCATATTGGATACATGGGGTTTTTTAGGAAGGGACCTTATTTCTCAAAGTTCTGAGACTTTTGAGGGGCAGTATTTCAAACAGATAACGTAAATTCACAGAGAGGGGAGCAGTCAAACGCAGCTCGAGTACAACTGCTGAAAATGCTAGTATCACTTATAACTAGGGCTCTCCAAGGTTTGCCAGGTCACATGAATTTAAAATGAACCAAGACACAGAATCCTGAAATACTGTTGGAATTCTGCTGTTCTGGTACTCTCTACATTACCCACAGCTAAGAAATATAACCATGGCAAGAGCTTTTCTCATTCTCCGTAAGGTCATGAAGGAAAAGACATTTGCCTGCGGTTTAAAATTGTTACAAGCTTTTCAACGATGGAACTATCTGATTACACAAATGATATCATTGAATTGGAATTCCCCTCTGCCACTTACTAACAGTGACAAGGCAAAAAACCTCTCTTCCTCTTGGCTTGGGAAGTTCCCACTTGGAATTCTCCTCTTCTATTGCCATTAACTGACTGCCTTCTTTTTCAATAATTGCTCTTCAAACATACAGAATTGGACACCAAGAGAGTTAGACCCACCAACTCAGGAGGTTCCAAGCTGCTTTACACTTAGAAACTGGAGAGGATCGAGGATATTTTTCTCTTTAAAACCTACTAGTAGACGATCCTAGGGGATATGCAGGAGAAACAGTATTAATCAGCTTTGGGCCTTGCATTTTAAAATATTTCAAAGGAAAGTTTTATAAGAGGTTTAATACACTTGAAAGATAGGTGGATATGTAGACAAACATCAATGTGAAAAAGTAGAGGACGTGAGTGATCTTAAGGCATGCCTTCTTTTCCATAAGGATCACAAAGAAGATGGAGACCTTTGTAAAATATAAAGCACTAAAAAAGAAAAATAAAGGACACATATATTTTAATAATATATAAAATATTTATATATAATGATAATATATATAAAAATAAAGGATGCATATATTTAATAATAAATAGTAGACCCACAGATTTATATCTCTAAGCCTAAACTTTTTTCAGAAACCCAGGCTTATATCACTGCCTGACTACTGAGATCTCCATTTTGCTAGCTGAGATACCTAAACCAACTGTCTGCAAAACATTACCTAAAATCAGTCTTCTCATCCATCCTGCCGTCACTCATGCAGGCCACTGTCTTCCTTCACTTGGCCCATAATGTAGCTCTCTCATCGACTTCCCTCTTCTACTCTTTCTTGCCTCTACTCCATTCTGTGTACCAGTGTTTCTCACACTTTAATGTGCATATAAATCATCTGGAAATTTTAATTCAGTTCTGGAGTGGTGCTTCAGATTGCATTTTTAACAAGCTCAGAAGTGATTCTCATGCTGGTGGTCGGGGGCACTGTTTGAATAGTTAGACTCTACACTGAGTAAATCAAATGATATCATTTAGCAACTTAAATGGCATACCATTTCACTTACGGTAAAATAGAAGCAGCTTACCATTCTCTAACAAGGCTTGTATACTCTGGACCCTGACTGCCTTTCCAGCCACTTTACTCATCATTTTCCAGTTTTACTATAGTGTAGTCACACTGACTTTTCTGGAACTCAGTGAATTCTTTGTATATTAGCCTCTAAGATTATTTGCTTGCTGTTCTCTGTGTCGGAAATTCTCAGGGAACTGAACTCTACTCGCATAATTTTTTTCTCAGCTTTCGTTCCAGCCTCAGCATAAATGTCAGCTCATATCTGAGAAAATTCTGATTATAGATTCCTCGGTGACTGACTGGCTTCTGTTTCAATAATTGCTTTTTAAAAATACAGAATTGGACACTAAGAGAGATGGATCCACCAAGCCAGGAGGTTCCAAGCTGGTTATAGATTCCTCAATATAACTTCAATCTCTTCTATGCAACAGTTAACAAAATTTCTGTGTTCGTTTTACTCTTACTTATTGACCTTTTCTTTTAGAACCTAAGCTCCCCCAGAGCAGAATCCTGGTCTACGTATGTGCCTACCTAGCTGGTTCATCACTGAGCGCATATTTATTGAAGTCCCATGTGCCAGCCATTTTCCTATGTACTTCGGATAAATGATAAACGAGACAAGTCCCAGTTGTCATACAGCTCACATTCTGTTGGGGGTAAGAGGGAAGGGAGACACAATTGCCAGTGAAACACATAAAATAATACAAAACAATGCCGGATAGTGGTAAGTGCATTGTTGATAATTAAAACTGAGCAAATAAGTCTGTGTTAGTTCTGGTAGTCAAGAAAGGCCATTCAGAAGTGACATTTAAGCTGAAGTGTGATGACAAGAAGAAATGAGCCATGAGAGGAAGAGCATTCCAGGCAGTTTGTGCAATGAAGAAGTGAGTTGGTCTTTTAAAAAAAAAAAGTGTACCTGGTGTGTAATGACGAGTAGCAGGAATTGTGCCAGAGCTAGGAAGCTGTTTGGTTATATGGGCCCTTTAATGTCCCTTAAGTGATGCTTTTGGAGACTTTTCAACAGAACGCTAATATGCTATGATTTAGTTATTAAAATATTCTTTCTGTGGGAAATGAATTATAAGGAAACAAAAATGGCAGTAGGGGTGTGGGCTCGGTAACAAATGCTGATGGCTTAGTGTGGACTAGTAGAGAAAATGATGAAGTAAAGATTTGGGATGCGTAATATAATGAATGTCTAAACTACTATGCAGTCATTTCGTGTTTGTCTTAGTTACCTAGGGCTGTAGCAATTAAGTGCCACACACTAGGTACTTTAAGCAACAGAAATGTGTCACTTTACCCTAGTTCTAGGGGCTAAAAATCAAGGTGTCCACAGGTTTGGTTATTTCTGGGGGCTCTCAAGGTGAATTGTTCCATGCCTTTCTCCTAGCTTCTGGTGATGGCCAGCAATCTTTGGCATTTCTTGGCTTATAGATGCATCACTCCAATCTCTGCCTCCATCGTCACATGGCATTTTCCCTGTGTCTCTGCCTCTTTACATAGTGTTCTTTTTATAAGATCACCAGCCTTATTGAATGAGGGACACACCATATTTCAGTATGACCTTATCTTAACTAATTATGTCTGCAATTATTACATTGCCAAATAAAATCATATTCTGAGGTACTGTTAGGTTTGGACTTCAATGCATCTTTTTGTGGAGAAATATAATTCAACCCATAACAGTTTTAACACCAAAACAGAAGAAATATTTGAGAAATAGAATTTATAAGATTTGGTGACTGATTGGATAGGAAAGTGAAAAGTGAATTAAAGATTGAGCTTGTGAGCCTGGGGGAATTCTGTCTAGCAAAAATAAGTCCTTGGAAGAGGAAGAATTGAGTTCAAGGTGTCAGCTCCTGGATACCCAAGTCGATATGGCAGCTGGAAATGTAATTCTGGTGCCTCATAGATCATTTAGGAATGAAGATAGCAATTAGAGAATGAGCCATGTGCAGTTACTAGCTAACAGTGGCAAATGCTCAATAAATGTTTTAAAACCTTGATATTTGAGTCTCATGTCACATGTTGCTATTCAGTAGTTTGCATTATAAATCCAAAGAGTTATTGATAATGTGCTATAACACAGATGAACCTTGAAAATATGCCAAGTGAAAGAAGCCACTCACAAAAGACCACATATTATATGATTCCTTGTATATGTAATGTTCAGAATATGTAAATCTACAGAGAAAGGAAGTAGATTTTTAGTTTCCTGGGGCTGGAGGGCAGGGAAAATGAAGAATGAATGCAAGTGGATATGGGATTTCTTCTTGAGATAATACATATTTTCTAAAATTGATTGTGCTTATGGTTTCACAGCTCTGTGGATGTACTAAAAACAATTTAATTGTACACTTTAAAGGGATGAATTGTATGGTATGTGAATTACGTCTCAAAGCTATTTTTAAAAAGATTCTTATGGATAAAATAATACTATATATGCTTTTTAAAAGGCAAAAGATTTATACCAACTGGAGAAACCAGAGTATATACATAAAATTACATACTCCTGGGCCGGGCGCGGTAGCTCATGCCTGTAATCCCAGCACTTTGGGAGGCCGAGGCGGGCGGATCACGAGGTCAAGAGATCAAGACCATGCTGGCCATGGTAAAACCCCGTCTCTACTAAAAATACAAAAATTAGCCGGGTGTGGTGGCACTCGCCTGTGGTCCCAGCTACTCCGGAGGCTGAGGCAGAAGAATCGCTTGAACCCAGGAGGAGGTTGCAGTGAGCCGAGATTGCGCCACTGCACTCCAGCCTGGCGACAGAGTAAGACTCCGTCTCAAACAAACAAACAAAAAAAAAAAAATTACATATTTCTGGCCGGGCACAGTGGGTCACACCTGTAATCCTAGCACTTTGGGAGGCCAAGGTGGGTGAATCACGAGATCAAGATAATGAGACTATCCTGGCCAACATGGTGAAACCCCATCTCTAGTAAAAATACAAAAAAATTAGCTAGGCATGGTGGTGTGTGCCAGTAGTCCCAGCTACTAGGGAGGCTGAGGCAGGGGAATCTCTTGAAACCAGAAAACGGAAGTTGCAGTGAGCTGGGATCACGCCACTGCACTCCAGCCTGGTGATAGAGGGAGACTCTGTCTCAAAAATAATAAAATAATTACATCTCCCCCTGGTTGAAAATCATTAGCGATAAAAAAGAAAATCAGAGAGCTGGAAAAAGAAAGAAGTAACTTTTAAGAAAAAAGAGTGGTGATAAAGGAGAATGTGGTTTCTGACAAGAAAAAGGAGAACTTTCAGAAAAATACAGAGTGATCAGTAATAACCCTACTATCTTTTAAAATGTGATGGAGGACCCAGGTACTATGGCTCATTTCCTCATCGTATATGCTTTTGACCTCGTTTGTCTCTTATGGTCATAAAATGGCTGCCACATCTCTATGCATCACTAGCTCATAAGGCCACATAAAAGGTAAGGAAAAATGCATTTCTCCTGTGTCTTTGCCAAGAGGAAAACTTTTCCCAGATGTCCCTATCAAACTTTCTTGTATCTCTTTTGCCAGAACTAGGTCACATGCCTAGCCTGAAACCAGTGGCATAGAGTAATACAACTTCTATGAGTGGCTTAAATTAATTGTGATTCACTGCTTGAGACCACCTTCCATTACTGTCCAACATGTGAAAAAAAATGGTGGTTCTTTTTCCATGGAAGAAAAAGGATGGCTAATCAACAT